AGAAGAAGAAGGAAAGAAAGAAAGAAAGAAAGAAAGAAAGAAAGAAAGAAAGAAAGAAAGAAAGAAGAAAACAGTAAACCTTATTTTTTCACATAGCCAGGAAGTCTGTGAAAGCTCAGCACACAGAATAGCAAATGGCATTTATCTGGCCTTAGTCACTAAGGTGCCCTTGTTCTGTCAACACCAGAGGGGTCCCTCAGTGTTGTCTCTGCTGCCAGAGAAGATAGAGCACATCATATATGGGATAGAAATTCAGAGTGTATCTTTGTCTCAGCACAGCTAAAACACTGCAGTAGTTATGAAGAACACAGATGGCTAAAGCTAGAGGCGCAAGCCTGATGAGAACTCTTCTTGAAACATGACTTCATTGGCAACCAAATATTGAGATTTTTTCCAGTCGTGGTATGGAGGTTTTGGTGTGACTCCAGGACACCATAGACTGGGACAGGTCAGGAATCTAAGATCAGCATACAACAGCAAGACTGGGAAAGGCGCAGGACATACATGTTCCTTTGCTTGTTCTGGCCAAGGATTCACATCAGAACAACAATACGGTAGATGTATTCTTGCTGGTTACCTTAACTGTCAACTCGACAATCTAGAATCAACTGGGAAAACTGTCTCAATGAGTGGTTTTTCTAGATGCGGTTGGCCTATAGACATATCTGTGAGGAATTGCCTTAAACATTTTTTTAGTTATTTTATTTTATGCATATGAATGTTTTGCCTGCATGTATTATGTGTACCAAATCCATGTCTGATGTCCTTAGAATTCAGAAGAGGATATTAGGTGCTTTGGAATTGGAGGGACATTGTGGGTGTTGGGAACTGAGCCCAGGTCCTTTGCAAGAGGAACAAGTACTCTTAAATAGAGAAGAACCAATCTCTCCAGCCCCTTGGGAGATTGTCTTATGTTAATTGATGTGGGAAGACCTGCCCACTGTGGGTAGCACCATCTCCTACTGGATTATGAGTCGAGGTGCCTGAGTTTGAATATGCAGGCATGCATTCACTTCTCTCTGCTCTTGATTGTTTGTGTGATGTGATTATCTGTTTTACATTCCTGCTGCTTTGACTTCCCATACTATGATGGAATATAACCTAAGATTGTAAGCTAACATAAACTCTCTTCCTCAAAGTTGTTTTTTTTTTTTTTTTGGTCCAGGTGTTTATCACAGCAACAGAGATGAAACTAAGCCACATACCAAATGCAAGTTATGCTCACATAAAATATTGAAGGCTATGGTAGGTAATAATGTTATTTAAAGAGTGGAGGGACACATTATAGTTTGATCAGGAAAATGTAAGAGAGAGTGTAATGAACTGTTTTTGATGAGCAGGCCTGTCATGACATTAAAAACCATCAGAGACCCAGCAATATTACCACTTCCTCTAATATATGTGGGATCATATGCAGGGGTACACAAAGAAGAGCCATTGAGTGTATAAACACACATACACACACACATGTGCACACCCACCCCCACACTCATCTTCCCCCCCCCCACAAATGCACCCATCCTCCTCCTCCTCGGCACTCATAGATAGAGGATGCTGGGATTGACTCTCTGCAGCATCTACATAGTTCATATAGTCCAAGCTAGAACTAGATTCTGTAACCAACATGCTATGTCTCTAAAATTGTGGCTTTTCTTTCATTGCTCTAGAATAATTTCTCACTAAGCCTTAATAACAGCAGTTGGTTGACTGTTCAACTTAGAATCTTTGAAACAATTTGAAAATAGGCCTCTTAAAGTTCCCCAACTGGGAAGCATTTGGAGATTTTATTCTAAGATCATAAAATGACCCTGGCATGGGTTATATTCTTATTAGCATGTGTGCCCATTTTCAGACTTCTTCCTTTGATAGTAGGTGCAACTGATAGAAAAGTCATGAAGGCTTACAACCACAGAGGTCCGGAATCACAATGTTGGGTGACAAGTAAAACCCCAGAAATACCTCCTGAGGATACATGAAAAACATCCTCCTAAGCCTGAGTTCCCCCATCTTTGGGCTTCCAGAGTCTTTTGTCAAGATGCCTCCTACCTCTGTGAATGTTTGGAGGGTCTAGAAAAAACACTTGGAAGGCAGCAGGAGGAAGTGAGGGGCTTCTGGGATGTGGTAACAAATTACAACATGGCTCCATTTTGGCTTATTACATAATGGTCTACACAGACAACCATACCAGACACAGCCAGCTCAGGGGCAGGATCTCCTCCCTTCCCTGACTATCAGAGAAAAGTCCAAGGAAGGTACTGGATAGAGGAAAGGGTACCAGGAGGAGGGAAAGGGCACTGCATGGAAGGACAGTTTGACTTCTGCAGATGCGAAGGTCTGTGGGTCCGTGTTCCAGGCCCAGCGTGGCCTGGCAGTGGGTCCTCCTCCCTGATATCACAAACTCTGATGCTCTCTGTATGCACCCAGGTTCCCGTGGCTGCTCCCTTCATCTGTGACCCAATTGAGTCACAACCTAGAGGGGCTGGGCTTCTCTCCTAGAAATGTGGTTGGTCCTTTTCTCCCAGAGTTCCTGCTGGTGTGTTTCTGCCACAGGTTCTGAGAATAGAAGGTTTCATTTATGTCTTCTCAAAGATCACCTACAAGGGTGCTCAAATCCAGGTCTTTTATAGCTGGGAGAGGCATTCATGATACCTTCTCTGTTGTTTTATTTTGCCTATCTTTTGCACCAGTCAGAACTGTCGTACATGAAAATATCTGGTCTGTGGTCGATCTAGAAGTCATTACACATCATCATATTTTTAAAAACTGTCCTCCATTTTCCCCCTAAATGACAATGGGAAATGTTCTGATGCCAACTCCTCTGATCCACTGATCATTTTCCTGAGCTAGAGGCTGACTGCATGAGAGCCACGTGAGAAGAAGATAGCAACTGAAGCTCCCACATGTCCTTGCATTTCAAAGCCCATCTACTGAGGGCAAAGATGAATACAGCAACTTTGAGTTTGTAGCTGAGGTCAGGGGATGCAGTGAAGACAGAGACATAGTCCCAAGTTTATCCCCACAGCCCAGGAAGGCAGAGGAGGGGACAGGAGAAGGATCTGTCCCTTCTGTCTGTCTGGGAATAGGCGTACTAGAATCCAACTCCCACTCTTCAGGGCTCAGGGTCAGATGTCATGGAAGGAGGGAAATTATGACTTGCCCAGTTTCCCTGGGAAGCTAGAGAGACTCTAGCACTCTAGGAGGATGGTGAGAAGGAGGCCTTCCATTCTTTCCAAAGAAAGTTCCAGAGGCCTTAGAAGGGTTTCCTAAACACCAAGTCACCTCTCATTCGACCTGGAGACTTAGTGACTGGTGAAGGTGGACTGGTTCTTACAAGGGACTTAGTTCTGACTCCAGCACATTCTTTTGTCAACCCTTTTCAAGAAAAGTCCAGACAGCAAGTCTTTGGGGAGACTTGAGCTGGGAAAAGAGAGCTGGCCAGTGTGTTCATAGAAGTATCAAGTCAAGAAGCAGAGACAGTAAAGATGGCAATGTGGACCTCCTGGGGCCCTTGCCAGCTAGGATGCTGCCCCTTGCCTCGGATGCCCTTAGAAAGTGTCACTTCACATGTGTCTCCTGGTAGGTCTGTGTGAAAGAGGACCACTCAGCCTGTCAGGAGGAAAGCATGAGTGTACAGGCAGGGCAGAGGGCACTTACCTTCATCATCTGTGGAGAAACTCTGTGGAGACAAAAGCAGGGCAGAGTGTCACCGTGCATGTGTGGCATGTCTCCCACCCCCAACCCCCAGACACAGTCAGAACTTGGCAGGCAGCAGGCAAAACTCAAGCTTGCTTTACTTCTGGGATCAGTTAAGGACCTGTCATTCTCAACTTACACTAAACCAGTTTATTGAGGGATGATTTAAACCATTCAGCAACTATTCTGAGTTGTTGTGTTGGATGTACTATGTTAGAAAAATCCCATCTTGAACTTAATTTTATATAGTTTTTTTTCTTATCACAGAGATAGAAGGCAAAAAAAAAATAGGGTCACGAGAAACCAGGGTGTCTCTGGTATTACCACACCAAGCCATTTGTTTTTACATTGGGAATTTGAATACATTTACAGGGTTTGTATTGGGATCCCCGCCCATTTGCTACAGTGTTGCCCTTTCATAAAATAAAGACTCAAAAGGCAAATTCTAATTAAAGCCCCGAATGGTTATCAAATCCGCTGAAAAGGAACTGGGCTTACAATTCTAGTGCTTAATTTGAATTTCCATACACTGGGGAGGTATGGGGTGTGGACAGCAGCAAATAAGAGGGATTAGTTTAACAGGCTTGTCTCCATGCCTCTCTGAAGACAGGCCACTCTGCTGCAGGGACAGAACCTGTTCCTAGCACTTTTGACCTCTTTTCATATGGTTCAGACTTCTCTGGCTACAGGCTAGCCCAGTAGCTCTCAATCTGTGGGTTGTGACACCTTTGGGGGTCACATATCAGACATCCTGCACATGAGATATTTACATTACAGTTCATAAAAGTAGCAAAATCACAGTTGTGAAATAGCAACAAAATAATTTTATGGTTGGTGATCACAACAACCTGAAGAATCGTATTAAAGGGTCACAGAATTAGGAAGGTTGAGCACCACTGCTCTATCTGCTTCTCTGGGAGCTGCCCCCACCCCAGTGGTTTAGAGAAACCTGCTTTTCTTTCTTCACCTTCTGCAAGTCCTTGAAAGATTTCTCTGTCTCCTTCAGTTTCTCAAGGATGATCTGCTCTTTGGCAGATATCTGGGACTCTTCACTTTCGAGCGCTTGTATTTCCTGCTCCAGCCTGGAAGACACACAAACAGAGGACAAGATGCTTTATTGCCCTGCCATCCATTGGCAAGGAAGCAGCCACCTTCCTGCTGAGAAACCTGTGCCTTCCATTGTTCACTACACCAAGAAACCAGGCCAAGGTTTTTCCATTACGGAGTATCCTGTGCGTCCAGCTTTGTTGCCAGGAAGACACTGATCAAAGGAAAATGACCCAGGACTGCCTCCATTGCCTCACGGCCACTGCTCTGCAACATGCTTGGTGTCCGTCCATTGCCCTGGCACCCCAGAAATACACACATCAATGATGATGTGTATATTTCTTATTCAGAGGTAGATTGTGTCCATACAGCTCAGGACATATGACCGGAAGAAAACAGCTTCAGATTCTCCTAGCTATCTCAGAAGAATGTCTCTTTTCTTTGGATGGCCAAAGGGCAAAGGGCAAAGAGCAAAAGGACAGTGTTCCTCAAAGGAAATATACTGTGTTAAGAAGTGGCTGGTGGTCAGAATCATGAAGTTGCTGTCTCTCTCTCTCAGGGAACTCTACTGCCAAAAAGAGACACAATGGAGGGGACAGATGCAACTGCCCCCAAACTTCTGGATAATTTCTTAGTTGCTATGACTATTCCATATAATTTCAAGAAGGGAAGAGACTCTGAGAATATTCCAGAAGAGCAGCCGTGCCTGTGCTTGGGGTAAAGCTCAGTATTTGTATTCTAGTAAAATGGCAGGAGTAATGATTAGCTGTTGAGTACTTGTTCACTATTCCAAGAACTAATCCACATGGTGCGATGGCTATTCTTGGTTGTCAACTTGACTATGCCTGGAATGAACTACAAGCCAGAAATAGAAAGCACACCTGTGAGAGATTCTTTTTTTTTGCTTGGTTTGAAGTGGGTGAATCTACTTCTAGTCTAGACGTTTGAGGCAGGAAGACACACATCTGGATCTTGAGGTGGGAAGACACACCTTTCATCTGGGCCACACCTTCTTCTGGAAGTCTACATAAGGATACAGAAGAAGGAGGCTTTTGCTCTTTGCCTGCTTTCCCTAGCCTTGCTAGCACATCCATTCCTTCACTGGCATTAGAGTCTACTTCCTTGGGATTCCAGCATATACTGAAGATTAGCTGAGACATCCAGCCTCATGGACTGAACAATTATTTGATTATTGAATTTTCCATTCATAGACAACTATTGTTGGATTAGCTGGACTTCAGCCTATAAGTCATTCTAATAAATCTCCTTTACATATGAATATATATATATATATATGTATATATATATATATATTCATTCTGTAAGTTCTGTTACTCCATAGAACCCTTACTAATATGCATGGTTTATTTCACTTAACTTCCTCAATGACTATGAGTAGGGAACCCCATTTTAGAGATGAGATCATCAAGAACTTGTATGTAGCAACTATTTCAGAACTTTGACACAAGAATGTAAATCAGGAGGTCTAACACCAGTCCCACCACCCCCACTCCCAACAACTGCCCTTCATTTTACTGCATTGATTCCACAGTGTCATGCTCAAAACTCATATGTATTGGGGTAGTGGGCCATTGTTATACTGCAACCAGGTCATGGTGTATTATGCAGAGATAGATGTCTTTTTATAAAAGACTCTACACTTCTGGTCCTCTTGAATTGTTTGGTCTGAACTTCCAACTCATTCATTCATTCACTCATTCATCCATTGGTCATTCACTCATCCATTTTTGCTGCTAGCCATTGCCCATGGCCATCATAGAAGCTTTGCTATAGTTGACACGCAAGTAGGTAGATCTCCTTTGCTGTCCTCTCCATTGTCTCAGCTCTCCTGAGAACTGGCTACCATGTATATTAGATTCACAAATAAAATGAGGAGTGCAGGGCTGGAGAATTGGCTCAGGGGTTAAGAGCACTGGCTGCTCTTCCAGAAGTTCTGAGTTCAATTCCCAGCAACCACATGGTGGCTCACAACCATCTATAATGAGATCTGGTGCCTCTTCTGGCCTGCAGATGTACATGCAGGCAGAACACTGCATAAGTACATCTTTTTTCTTTTTTTAAAGAGCTCAGAGTGAGATTTGTGAGAGGCAAGGGGCATCAAGGCACAGGCATGAACTGTGCTCCAACCTCAGATTTTTTTTTTTTTTTTTAGTTCCTGAATGTAAGAAATGTACATTCCTCAAATGACCACAGTGACAGACACACTCATTTTTCTGCTCAGGAAAAGTGAGAGTCACGCAACTTACAGGACCCCAAAGTATCCTGCCTCCCAGTGCCAAGTGACCCTCTGTCACTATCATACATGGTTCCCTTTGTGCTTAACTCACACAGCAGCTCTCTGTTTGCTCTGAGGTGCTACACTTTTCTTTCCTTCCAGAAATTCATCCCACACCTAGAACCATTCCTGAAGTCTCAACTTAGATGCCACTTCCCCTTCAGTTTCCAGAGAGTCACCTGTAGGGGTGACTTACCCTTCTTCTGTATCTCTTTCTGTTATTGTGTTTGTTCTAATACAGGGCCTCAGGTATTCCAGAATAGCCTCAAACTTCTTTTGACTCTGCCTCCTGAGAGTTCAGATTACAGGCATGTAACCATCATGCCTGGTTAATTGTGCATGGAACCTAAGGCTTTACATGTGCTAGACAAGTACTCATTCAATTAAGCAACAACCTTAGTCCTGCTCCTGTATCTGTCTTAACCCATTACTCTTATTTATCAGCATTCTTATCAAAGCGACTGTAGGTTATAGCAGCATTTCTTTTTTTTTGTATTTTTTTTTTTTTTTTGAGATAGGGTTTCCGTGTGTAATCCTGGCTGTCCTAGAACTTGCTTTGTGGATCAGGCGGGCCTTGAACTCACAGAGATCCACCTGCCTCTGCCTCCTGAGTGCTGGGATCAAAGGCTTGTGCCACCACTGCCAGGCTTAACAGTTGTTTTCTATTGAAGTGATTTTCCTCCTGGAAGAAGTCTGCAACATCTTTACTCTGGTTGTTTATAACTCCAGGGGACAAGCACCGGTGTTACTGACATCTAGCAAATGGAGACAGGAGATGCTAATAAAACAACTTATGGGGCACAAACAGTCCCAGAAGAGAAGAATTACCTGGCCCCCCAGTAGCAATGGGCATTATTAATTTCCCCACCTGGATTAAAAATTTATCAAGGTGGGGACAGACACACATGCTCAATATACAAACATTCAATGAATTAATACAAAAGCCGAAGCAGGTTGAACCAAGACCATGAGACGAGACAATCAGAATTCCTGAAACCAGAGAAAAGTCTCCAGCAGGCATTGACTAGGATGGCTGTGTGAGCTGAACGCAAATAGAGTCCAAATGAGAGGGGCTGAGTGATGCAGAGGTTTGGGCGCAGATGTAAAACTCTTTGCTGTCCCAAATGTCCAACAAAACCTTCTGCGCATGTCTCTGTGAATTATTCTAGGGAGGAGTGGATGAAAGGCATGAGAGCAGAATAAGAACAGCACACACGGGACAGCTGAAGTGATCTACAGCGTGTAGTCATGCAATTTCTGGGCCAGAGGTCTCTTAGCCAGGATGCATGGAACTAGTGACCAGGTGAGTTCTGAGATTTCACCTAAATCTCAAAAAAAAAAAAAAAGTATCTCAGCAGGAACCTCAGATACTATCCTTTAAAATAGTCCCTCCCTTCGGGACTACAGAGGTAGCTCAGTAGTTAAGGGCATTTATTTCTCTTTGAGAGGACCTGAGTTTAAGGACCAGTACCCATATCAGGCTGCTCTCAACTTTAGCTTCAGGGGATTTGATGCCCTCTTCTGGACTCCATGGACATTGCACTTACACATGCACATACCCACACACAGGCACATCATACAGTGTGTGTGTGTGTGTGTGTGTGTGTGTGTGTGTGTGTGTGTGTGTGTCCAT